TATGCATCTATGCATCCTATGCATCCTATGCAGCCATATATAAACTTGTATATATTTCTTATATAAGTCTATGCATCTATGCATCCTATGCTTCATGGTATATATGAATATATGACGTTAACGATATATAAAATGTATATAAACTATGCATCTATGCATCCTATGCATTTAAGAAAGGGTATTATTATTCCTATGGTCTCATATTAGACCTCTAATGAGGCTTAAAGGGACTCATCCTAACTTTACATCGGGTAGGCTTAAAGGGACTCAGCCTAACTTTACTCCGGGTAGGCTGAAAGGGACTCATCCTAACTTTACTCCTGGTAGGTTTCAAGGGACTTATCTTAACTTTACTTCGGGTAGTTTTAAAGGGACTCGTCCTAACTTTTCACCAAGTATGTTTAAAGGGACTCATCCTAACTTTACTTCGGGTAGGCTTAAAGGGACTCGTCCTAACTTTCCAGTAAAATGGAATAAAGTTTCGCAAATATTTTTGGTTTCCCTGAAAAATTCGCATTTTTTCGTGAAAGAAAACGAAAATTCTCAAAAAAAATATGTGTGGAAAATTTTGCATTTTTAGCAAAAGTTTTTACCTGGTTTAAAGGGACAAAAGTTGTAATTTAAAGTGATCCGTCATTTACAAACTTGGCAAATGTTTAATTGTGACAATGTCCTTCATTGTCTCTGTAGCATAAAGACGCTATGGTCACTTGTTTAAAGTAACCACAATTATAAAGAATCAATTTTCAATTGGATTAAAAAAAAAGCTTATTAGTAAAAAAGGTTTAAACTAGGACATAACTCTAAATATAATTAAATGGAAAGTCATTTAAAGTTAAGTCTGTAGTCCTTTTTTTACCACATAGATTCCTTAAACATTGTTTTTAACTTTAAAAAGAAAAGAAAAAGGAAAAGCTATGAAAAGCATCAAAATGTCTAACGGCATGCCCCCAAAAATTGTTATTTTTGAAGCCAATATGAAATCATCGACAATTACAGAAAACCTCATCCAATATTCTTCTTTTTAGACAAAAAACGAAATTTCTAGATAACTGTAATTTCTACGCGCACAGCGGAATTTAGGGTGCATTAATGCGCGAAGTAGCGCCGGAAAAAGGCTGGTGCGTACATTTTGAACTTGACTGAGTCATAGATGTCTCCGTTAATCATCGTACAGCTTTATTTGTCGGGCGTTGAACTAAACTCTACTAGCCCTGTAGATATACGTAGTGTTTAGTATGGTCCTGTAAACCCTACTAGCCCTGTAGAATACGGAGTGTTTAGAATGGTCCTGTAAACCCTACTAGTCTTGTAGAATACGGACTGTTTATAATGGTCCTTTAAACCCTACTAGCCCTGTAGAATACGGAGTGTTTATAATGGTCCTGTAAACCCTACTAGCCCTGTAGAATACGGAGTGTATAGAATGGTCCTGTAAACCCTACTAGCCCTGTATAATATGGAGAGTTTAGAATGGTCCTGTAAACCCAACTAGCCCTGTAGAATACGGAGTCTTTAGAATGGTCCTGTAAACCCTACTAGTTTTGTAGAATACGGAGTGTTTAGTATGGTTCTGTAAACGCTACTAGCCCTGTAGAATAGGGTGAGTTTAGAATGGTCCTGTAAACTCTACTAGTCTTGTAGAATAAGGGGAGTTTAGAATGGTCCTGTAAACCCTACAAGTCTTGTAGAACAGGGTGAGTTTAGAATGGTCCTGAATAGGGTGAGTTTAGAATGGTCCTGTAAACCCTACTAGTCTTGTAAAACAGGGTGAGTTTAGAATGGTCCTGTAAACCCTACTAGTCTTGTAGAATAGGGGGAGTTTAGAATGGCCCTGTGAACCCTATTAGTCCTGTAGAAAGAATGAGGTTTAGAATGACCCTGTAAACCCTACTGGTTCTGTAGAAAGGAAGAGGTTTAGAATGGCTCCATACACCCTACTAACTATGAAGAAAGGAGTAGGTGTAAAATGGTACTGTAAAACCTACTAGATCTGCAGAAGGGGGAAGGTTTATTATGGTCTTGTAAACCTTAATAGTCCTGTAGAAAGGGGGAGGTTTATAATGGTCCTGTAAACCTTACTAGTTCTGTAGAAAGGGGTAGGTTTATAATGGTCTTGTAAACCTTACTAGTTCTGTAGAAAGTGGGAGGTTTATAATGGTCCTGTAAACCTTACTAGTCCTATAGAAAGGGGGAGGTTTATAATGTAAACCTTACTAGTTCTGTAGAAAGGGGTAGGTTTATAATGGTCTTGTAAACCTTACTAGTTCTGTAGAAAGTGGGAGGTTTATAATGGTCCTGTAAACCTTACTAGTCCTATAGAAAGGGGGAGGTTTATAATGGTCCTGTAAACCTTACTAGTTCTGTAGAAAGGGGTAGGTTTATAATGGTTCTGTAAACCTTACTAGATCTGTAGAAAAGGGGAGGTTTAGAATGGTCCTGTAAACCTTACTAGATCTGTAGAAAAAAGAGGTTTAGAATGGTCCTGGTGAAAGGGGGAGGTTCAGTTTGGTCCTGTAAACACCATCAATTCTGTAGAAAGGGGGGAGGTTTAGAATGACCATGTAAACCCCACTATAGTCCTGTAGAAAGGGGGAGATTTTAAATGGTCCTGTACAAATTGTTTCCCTTCTTGTAATCACATGTATACCATAATAAAAAATTTTAATTGTTAACATTTATATTTTGTCATGATTCTCGATGGGTCTCTGTTTCTAAAATGTACCCTCTTTATGATATCAATTATTAGTCAATGTTGTATTCACACAGTGACGAAAAACGCTTGAGCATTAAAGTTTTAAGATCTGAATTTTTGCTTTGTTTTCCACTAAATTGTGATGAGTCAAATTTTTTGTGTGCTCACCTAAAACAGCTTTGAATATGAATTACAGATGCCTTAGGGGGGTTTTGCAACCCCCTGCCCCCCACACATGCTACCTAGCTTACCGCGTTATTTTCTAAATGAATGGTATGACGGTGGGCTAATGATAAATTCTCCGGCCTATATAAACCACGCCGGAGCGATTCTAGATTCAGACAGTTTAACCACTACAAACCAACAACATGTAAGAACTTATAATAAATTTTTAGAAAATTAATCAAAATTTGTGGGTTGAAAACTTTTTCATTTTATTTTTTCAAATTTCAAATTTCTTAATTTTATAAAATATACACTTGCTAGATAGTTTTTTAAATTTTTCTTTACCATTATTTTTTTTCTAGAATTGTCTGATTTGGGATTTTAAATTAAAGTTTTATTTTCTATTTTCCGTCACTCCTGCAAGGTCAGACAGTCAAGCTGTCATATAAAAAGAAATGAGACAGCTTGTCAATTCCGGAGAAAGAAAGCTGATGAAAATTCTATTTATTTTTAGGATCCGTCAAGTCGTAGTATTGACAGTCCTTTACACTGTGGTCCAAGGTCAACTACAGGGCTATGAGATAGACGATGAGACGGTGACCAAGATCCACAACTACAACCTTTGCTGCCAATGCTTTGGAGATGAGTTTGCTGAAGCCTGGGGAAAGCAGCAGATGGATGCCATGAAGAAATGTGGAGTATCTGCCCCAGTACTGGCAGCTGGATCTCTACCCTATCCTATTAACGCTGCGTTCCTCCGAAGTCCTCTCTACTCCTACCAACCACAACCTTATGTTTGGAATAACCAGTATCAGTATGGAAGGAAGAAGAGAGAAGCTGAGGTTAGTGCAGAAGCTCTTTCCAACCTTTATGATGCCTGGGGAACCAAGTTGGGTAATCTTTCATGTGTCCTTCAAGAGCTTGGCGCACTTGACGCTGCCGGAGAAATTAACAAAGCTATGTTCTCCCCTTCCTTCATTCAGCAAAGGTTTGGAAACAGCAAGGCTGGTTCAGATCCCGTCTTCCTTCAGAAGCTAAGTTCTGAGATGAACACATGCTATGATATTTCTCAGAGCTTCCCTCAGTCTGCCTTCAACAAGAATGACTTTAAACAACAGTATGGACGCCGTATGGTATTCTTCCACTGCTGCATGAAGGCAGAGAGGTATTTATGCATGAAGAACTTGATGAGCAATCACCTGGAGAAGATGACAGGAAAGGTTCCCTCCTCCCCCTTCACAACTGACAAGTATGATGCTGCTGCTATGTCTGTTAAGGCAATGAAGCACTCTGCCAGCCCTGAAGCTAAATTCATCGATGTTTTCTTCTGGGGAGACTCCAAGCTTTGAACAGTAAAGCCGTTAGACAGATTTACATTTTCGTTTAAAAACAATAATCAATCTCTTTTTTTAACTAAATAATTCTCAAATAAACGGGTTTTCTTTTAAATTTATTTACTTATAGAAATATATACTTGAATAAGACAGAAAATATTCAAAAAATCGGTTTTGTTTGTGCTTTTATAATAATTTTGATAAGAGATCATTGTCTTTGTGAGTTTCTTTTTTTGGGGGAAATTTTATTATCACATAAACTTTTTAAAATGCTGCCCAAATTTTAGAACGTATGATGTAAAAAGGAAGTTTTTGTCTCAAACTAAAATTTTCTAATTCTTATTTCTTGCTTTTTAAAGCTTTGGCATTTAAAACTATGATTTCTGTTAGATTAAATAATCTTTATAATATAGAATATTTAAACCATCAGTGGCCGAAATTAAAGAATTTGAGCGGCGGTTTAAATTTAAGCCGCGGATTAAATATGGTTGGTTCCACTTAAAATTGTATCAAATGTTTCAAGATTTACGCCGGCGCTTATTTTAAACCGGGGTTTAATTGGCGGATTTAAACCGCGGCTCAAGTTCTTTAAATTCCATCTCAGGTTGTGCAATATTGGGATTAAAATTTGTGGCAAAAACTCTGGTTCTTTATGAAAATCTGACAGGAATTTGACAAATTTCAACCCTTTTGACAATTATTAACCATATTGACAAATTTTAACCATTTTGACAATTATCAACCATATTGACAAATTTTAACCATTTTGACAATTATCAACCATATTGACAAATTTTAAACATTTTGACAATTATCAACCATATTGACAAATTTTAACCATTTTGACAATTATCGATCAAATTGACAATTTTCAACCGTTTTGACAAATTCATCCATCTTGACAAATAAATCTTCATTACTCATTATTATTTAAGGGGTCCGAAAAGCAATATAAAAATTTGCTCAGAAAGTATAATTTTTTAGATAGTGTTTTGGTAATATATAACATGTCCAAGAAAATATACTTGTTTTCGTTCGAGAATAATAATAAAAAGTGTTTTTCATGTTTTCCCCAATAAGTAGATAATTACTTTTGCGATAGTATTTACATATAATCATAACATAAAGTTAAATATGGGCGGACAAAAAAACATTAGCACGGGAAAATTAGGGGAACGAAAAATGATTTTATATCTGAAATGGTGAACAGTGGTGACCAAAAACTGTGGAATAGAAACACAAAATTTTTAAGTATTATGTGTGTTGCAGTGCCTTGCAGACGTTATAATAAATAACAAAAATTTAAAAAATAAAACGTTTTCCTTTATGTTTTGTTTTTGATTTGCCTCTTTGTTTATGAAATGCTTTGGGATTATGTTAGGACGAGATTGGAATTTTACTATCATTTATTACAAGTTCTTTGGGGGAATAAACCTTTATCAATGAAAACTTTTGGGATTTTACCTGAATCTGATATGTTCTGTATTTTACATTTAACTATGACATGCTTTGAATTTTGCCCTTTTCTATGACATTTTATTGGATTGTATATTTATCCATGACAAGTGTTGGGATTTCACCTTTATCTATGACAAGTGTTGGGATTTCACCTTTATCTATGACAAGTGTTGGGATTTCACCTTTATCTATGACAACTTTAGGATCCGTTCCTTCCAGAGTGGAAAACTTCTTTGCGTTGATAGTAACAGGATCCGTTGGACGGGAGGCAAGATAATCAAAAGCAACCTTAAAGGAAGTGTAAGCATTATTTAAAGTGGCTATCCATCAAAAGAGGGAAATGCACGATTTACAACGGTACCCTAAACCCTATTTGACCGGGGGGTTGGGGGCAATAAATTTTCTGGCTTTTCTAACAAGCATATGCCCCTCACTTAAGTCTTAAAGCTGGGATTTTATGATTTTATTCCTACTGTCTGAGTCCTCAGGCGTTCTCCCTAAATGCCTTATACTACCTTTACCAGACTAAATCTAAATATAGACCTATAATTTCAGTCATTGGATTTCAACATTTTATAGCTCTTTGGAAAGGAAACAACAAAAGCAAGCATATTGCACAACTTTTAAACAGAAATTTTTCACAGACGCCTTTAAAGTGAATTTGCACATTTTCAGTTTTTCTTGAATGCGCATTTAGGGCTTACGAATTTTGCAAATGATTTTGCACATTTGATTTTGAGTCAAATGTATAATTTGTTGCAATTTGCGCAATTATTTTTTGCACATTTTTTCTTAATATCTTGATTTTGCAAAAACTATTTCTATTTTTGAAAATTTGCCATTTTTTGGGAAATTACTGAAGCAGAGCCTATGGGCTTTTCAAAAACGTATTAAATGTTACAGATTTGTACCACAATAAGAAGATAGAGCCAGTCAGTAAACCAGACGTCAGGCTAAATAAGGTTAAAAGCTTTGTCTGATCAAGTATAAATTAGATCTCTAACCATATCTGGTTATTTAAACTGTCTATTTTCATTTGTGGGTTATCTGCAAAAATGTCTGCGCATTTCTTGCATTTCCATAAGAAACAATGAAGGAATTCACAGAAATAAAAATGTTTCGAGTCAGACAAACGACGTTATCTTTTAATGTTTGATCATATTAAGTTTTGGATAAAATACTTTTGAAACTTATTACCAAGATTGACTGTCAATATGAAAAGAAATTTCAAACGGTATTTTCAATCTACAAATGACAAGGGTGCCATTTTAAACTGTATTTATCAAAATTTTACCTTTGTCGAGTCGTCAGCGATATAGTTATTTTTATCGGAAACAACATCTTAAAATAGAACACGTTAAAAATATGATTATTTTGTGTTAAAATAATTAAAAAAAACAAAACACTTTTTTAAATTAAACAAACATAGAATAACAAATCAACTTAATAAAATGTATAAAAATCAGCATAGCACATGCAAAAAAAAATTTATAAAAAAAGGGTGGATGAAAGCTTCTAAGGTTTTAAAATATTAACAGTGGGAGGGGGGGGGATGGAGGGAAAGGGGCACAAATTAGGGTTTATTCTTTGTCTTTCATTTGTTCTCAGGTTGAAATATACAAAGTTCTCATAGTTAGCTCGAAGGGAGTGTTCGCGAAAAATAAAAGGGGATTAGGCTGAATCCTGATCAAATTCGGATCGACGCTACGAATTTTACTTCCTTTTGTTGCGTCTATGTACGTTCAATTATATTTACGTAAAATTCCATTTAATCATTTAACTGATTCTTTAAATATTACAATACGTAAATTTCAGATTTTAAATAGATCATAACTAAAACTACTAGCGAGTTTGATTATGATTCAGTATTACCCCATTTTCATTTTTCGCAAACTCTCCCTTTAATATCCTGAGGCCAGATTCAATAAAAAGCGAGAACTTGTTGAACTGAATATGGAAAGTTAAACTACTTTTTTAAAAAGTGTTTAAACAAATACTAGAAACAAACACTATTATTAAAATCACATAAAACAATGGAATTCGATATTTAAGAATTCTCATGTGTTCTTGATGTTTTATATTGAAAATAGTTTTACTAGAAGCTAAAAAATAAACATATGGGTCTGTTTACACTGCACGATTGACATATGTTTCTTTATTTTATTTTCATTGGACTATTCGAAGTCAGTTGTATACGTCTATATACCGTGCTCTTGTACCCCTTAGGATAAATTGCAACTAAGTTTTTACCACTCTGATTTTCTTATCCGTATATCTTGGCAACCCAAAGTCGTAGACTTTTGATATTTGAAACTTTGAATTATTCTAGACCAAAAGATCTGAGTTTGAAATATCAAAGGTTTACACCATCAGCTTGCACAGATATATGTTAGGATTAGAACATTTGAGTTTGTGGCAGAAAATTTCTTTCTTTCTTTTATATTTTATATTTCATATTTTAAAATGTTTAAATCTTGTGTAAAGTAGCTTACAGACGTTTAAGGCGAAGGTTGGTGTGATAAGAAGAAGAATTGATGGTAAACCCGCAAGGAGCTGGAGAACCATCTTTCCTCAAATATATTCTGAAATAAATATTATTAGATTAAACTTCGCAAAACTAGAAGTTCTCTTGGAAAATCATTTTACTTCATACTGTTACAATATTTTTATATATAAAGTTGAAATAAAAGAAAGTTGAAATAAAAAGTATATTTTGGAAAATTTGAAATGTCATTAAATGTTTAATCCTATCTCAGAGATGCGATTTTATAATAAGAACGGATTAGTGTGAACTCAAGTTCTTATCGAGTTAAAGATATCTTAAAACAGACATTCGATAATTCGTTTTAATATTTAAAAAACATGTTAACTTTTATTTTCAAAAGTGTCATTTATAGGATAAAAGTAAAACAAAACCAACTTAATTTTAATTTATTCAAAAGTACTCAACTCTAAAGTTCTTGGCTCTACTCCTACCCTTCCCTGCGGTATAAAGTTCCGTTTATACCCTACCCTGCTGTACAAATTTTCTGTCCCTACACCTACCCTACCCTTCGGGATAAAGTTCCTGGCTCTACCCATACCATACCTTGCGTTATAAAGTTTCTGGCTCTACCCCTACCCTACCCTGCGGTATAAAGTTCCTGGCTCTACCCCAACCCTACCCTGCGATATAAAGTTCCTGGCTCTACCCTTACCCTACCCTTCGGGATAAAGTTCCTGGCTCTACCCATACCATACCCTGCGGTATAAAGTTCCTGGCTCTACCCCTACCCTACCATTGCAGTATAAAATTCTGGCCTCTGCCCCTACCCTACCCTACGAGTACGGTATGAAGTTCATGGCTCTACCCCTACTCTGCACTGCGGTATATAGTTCCTATCTCTACCCCTACCCTACCCTGCGGTATAAAGTTCCTGGCTCTACCCCCACCCTACACTGCAGTACAAAGTTCCTGGCTTTACACCCACCTTATCCTGCGGTATTAAGGTCCTGGCTCTACCCCTACCCTACCCTACCCTACGGAATAAAGTTCCTGGCTCTACCCCTACCCTACCCTACGGAATAAAGTTCCTGGCTCTAACCCTACCCTACCCCGCGGAATAAAGTCTAGGATATAATTTGCTGAGGTTTGCTGCTGCAGATCTTTCTCGCTTTGAATTTTATTGATAAAATCTCAGCAAAATGTTTCCTGTTCATTCTAGCAGAGATTTAAATTTTTATCTTTTCTTTCAAGTTTTTATCTTGATCGTTACATTTAGTGTCTATGAAGTAATATGGATGTACTGAAAAGATTTTTCAATGTTCATAATCAAATTTTCAACAACATCTTGTTACCGAACTTTCAACAAATTTAAAGTTTGTTCACAAAATGTCAACAAGTCCTAGGAAAAAAGTCACTGGAAATAAAGACCTAACTGCTATGTTTTTGAATTCTTTTTAACCTTTTTTTTCCTTAAATTAGCATGGAGACTGCCAATATAGTCGCAGGAAACTTTTTCTAATCCCAGGAACAAATGTATAATTGTAAAATATATAACGACAACAAAAGCCAATCTACGAGGTGTGTCAATAAGTTTTGCTAAAAAAGAATTAGGGTAACTTGTAGAATGTAGAAGTCTCAGCCCGGACATTTTTTTTTGAAAGTTCACTATATTTATACCGGACTATTTTTCAGATCAGTTGATTATAATCAGATCTTTGTAGTAATTGTGATGAGCGTTCTCCCGAAGTATATCAGCTTCATCGTCACAGCAAGAAAAATCTTAAAATGGTTTCAAACTTGATCAAAGTCTGTTTTAGACCCTTTAAGAACCACCAAAAGAAAAGAGAGATCAAGTATTTAGTGTATGAAGGAATTTTGATGAGTTTTCTGGTCTTGATTTACATACGAGATACATATTTAATGTCATCCCTTTGGTCCTATGTCAAAGATTTTGGAGAATTTTTGCCCGCATTTTTGTCATTTTTTAATCCTGCTTTACAACTTTGTTTAGAATTTAAAGGCACATATAATACTGACTGGCAAACATACTTCTAGAACCCTTGCCTATATGGTTTGAACAATTTTCTATATTTTTGACCATTTTCGGGGTCTTGATGGTGTCCTTTTTCTCTGGTCAATATTCTAGATATTCCTATGCTGTGATAACGAAGCAAATCCACATTTAGGAGAACACTCCTTACATCACAACAGCATGCTGCTTGACGCCAACCTGGCCAAGAATGGGGAACTTAGAAAAAAATTAGAGCTGAGACTTCTAGAAACTTATTGATCACAGTGGTATTATATAAGCAGGCCCCTGGGGCTGTTCTATATTCCCCTATAGTTTTATTTGATTAACTTGAAGCCCATTTAAGAATTATTAGTTTTTAAAACTTTTTTCCCGTTTTTGTACAAAATCGTACTGGAACACGGAAAAAGTTCTATAATATAAAGTCCTACAATAATATGATTATTAAAAAAAAATTTTATTTGTAGGGCTTTTTTACAGAACTTTTAAGTTTCAAATTCTGAAATTTTTGTTCCCTAAACTTTTTTCAGAGAATGTTCAGAGAACTGCTAACATAATTTAAAATGACCCTCAGGGCCTAGGTTGGGCAGAAATGATAATTACATATTTCCTCGTTATTCCTCTGAAATTTAAAAAAAGGGGTATTGTCCTCAAATTTTTTCCTCAAATAAAGTTCTAAAGGATTGTCACTGAAAAATATGGTTCAGATTTTGTGGCCAAGGCTGAGTTCCTTTATGCTAGAGGGAGGGGTTGCCGAGAGGGAGGGGGGGGGGGGGTTAAATGTAACAAGCAAGCACATCCGTAACTGAGGCCTAAACATGGTTCAGGCCTATTTTCCAAGTCTCTACACATTGAGTCCATGAGTGGGACTGGAAGCATTTTAAGAATATAAACACACGAAATATCAATCCAACTTAATGTCAACCTCCGTATTGGGAGTACGTAAAAATATCTTGTTTTTTAAGAATTTTTAAGTCATTATTTTATTTTACTCCTCTCTTATCCTAAGTTTTCCCAAAGTTTAGTCAATGAACAGAAACTTACGGGAAACTAACAAAAAAAAATGGAAAATTAGCCAAAAAATTCGAAAAGTTAAAGGAAAATTTACAGAAAATCAACTGTTTCTAGCCTTCCTTTTTGATTCTTTCCTATTTTTGCCTAATTTATTTTAATAATTACGTGACTCCATTTTTATTTTTTATTTCTAAGGTTCAATTTTAACAGCCTAATGTAGTCAACCTCTTAAACTTTTTGCTATAAGTCAAATAAGTCAAAGTTTGAATATTCACAGGTTTACAACTTTGCACTAATAATTTTAACATATAATACATCAATATGGATTTAAAAGTTAGGGCTTAAAAATAGTTATGATTTCCACTTTCCCTAGATGAAAAATTTCCAATTTTAAATTCGCCAAAATTCACAAAAGTGAAGGCATGTTGAGAAAAAATTAAATTTTTTTTTTGAACCGTGTGTTTTTATGACTTGTCAAAACTGGATAATTTTCTTTGAGAAAAATTTTACTTTTTAAAAGATCCCTTTAATTTAAAAGCAGAAACATGGCGATTTGTTTAACTTTAAATGCTAAAATTAAAACTAGAATAGGGGCACAAAGCGTCCTTAACCCAAATGTTTCTAGGAACCTATAAATACCAATAAGGACCCGCCTTTTTTACTTGTCGTTCCATAGTATAATATTAGACAAACACCCTGCATCATATATTAATATTACACACTAATACAAAATAAATTGTTGCGACACTAAACAGAAAAAACTAAACAAGAAAACATAAATGATGATTTCAATGAGTTACAGGAGTTTATTTTTTTTCTCCCCCAATATTGAAATAGTGGAGGAATATTAAGTATACTTGAGAACACGATAAAAATATTAATTTCACTATAGACTTCTGGAGAAATATTGATTTTACTAAAGACTTATGGAAAAATATTAATTTCACTGGAGACTACTGGAGACATTTCAATTTCATTGAAGACTACTAGAGGAATCATGATTTTACTGGAGACTACTGGAGGGATATTGATTTCACCGGAGACTACTGGAGAAATATTGATATTACTGGAGACTCCTTGAAGGATATTGATATTACTAGAGAATACAGGACGGCGCAGGGATATCGATTTTACTGAAGACTACTAGTACTGAAGGAATATTGATATTACTGGAGACTAAAATATGGATATAGATATGACTGAAGACTACTAGAGGAATATTATATATTGATATTACTGGAGACTACTGGAGAAATATTTATATTTTTGGAGACTTCTGGAGGAATATTGATTTTATTGGAGACTACTAGAGGAATATTGATATGTGTAGCAAATGCCTTACTTCAATAAGTTATCTTAAGTCTGTAACAATACTGTTTTACCCTTCTGTATCCTTAGGTATCTGTCTTACAAGATACAACTCAATCACAAACTCTACGTTCCTTAATAGTACTCAATCTCTATCAATACCGATAAGATGCTGTTGTATTTTTTAGTATGTATCCCTGATACAACTCTCTGTAATCCTTGATATGTGTCCTTAATATACTCTCGGTAATCTTTAACGTGTATCCCTGATATACAACTCTCTGTAATCCTTAACGTGTATCCCTGATACAACTCTCTGTAATCCTTGATATGTATCCTTAATACACTCTCGGTAATCTTTAACGTGTATCCCAGATATACAACTCTCTGTAATCCTTGATATGTATCCTTAATACACTCTCGGTAATCTTAAATGTGTATCCCAGATATACAACTCTCTGTAATCCTGATATATATCCCTGATACATTCTTGGTAATCTTTAATATGTATCCCTCATACGCTATCTGTAATCTTTAACCATATAAAGGTTGGGGGGTCCCCCCCCCCCTAGAAAAAGGCCTTAGGGTTGAAATGCATGTTCATTGCCCAATTTTGCAAGGTCAGCTCATAGAAAAAAAATAACTTTAATAGGATGGGTGCTAAGGAGGGTTGTAACTTTAGTCACAAAAAAGTTATGGGCTATTTCAGATTTTTTTTTCACAGACAAGAATTCCGCCTTTTACTC